AAACAAACTCTAGTCTCCAAACTACAGTCTGGAGAAGAAAGTCTACCTTTCCCCATATGGAAGTTGGCCTTTCCTAATGTAAAGGTTCTGCTGCTTCCTCCTCAGTCCATAGATTTTTTTCCGGAAATACTGGAGACAAGATGGCATTATAGAAGCAGCAGTGAGCAAACCTCTCCGAAAATGCTATTTATTTGAGTTCCTTGAACCAACTAGCTGAGCTGTGGACAGCCTGGAGCTGCAGGATAAACTCTAGAAGGGCAGTTTATACGCAGACTTACATATATTTGCAGTACTGCTATGTCTTGCTTAGTGCCAAGATTGACCTCGAGGAGAGGGACTGCTACCGGTGCCACATGGAGCATGACAGCCTAAAGGAGCACCTGGACGTGGCCTGGGAGGAGCCTATCAACCCGGGGCTCATTGTGGGAGCCATTTTAGGTGTTGTGGTTGCCATCCTGCTGGCGTTTGGGATCATCTTCTTCATCCGCCTGCCCAAGTCATAGAATCATAGAGTTGGAAGAGACCACAAGGGCCATCGAGTCCAACCCCCTGCCAAGCAGGAAACACCATCAGAGCACTCCTGACATATGGTTGTCATAGAATCATAGAGTTGGAAGAGACCACAAGGGCCATCGCCCTTGCTGTGAATTACAGAGGCTCAGAGCTTGTGCTGTCCTTTAATGATGTTCATGATGTTTCTTAACCCTGGTTCTCACCCATCCCTTCTGACTCTCACTTGGCATGTGGCTGGCTAGGCTGCATCCACCAGAAGCCCTACCTTCATCACCTTCTTAACTGGCTTTGGTATTATTCTTGTCCAGGAAACTTGGCTCACTGGAAAGCTGTCCTTAAATGGCTTTCATACCTTCTCCGTAGGAGCGGTAAAAAGGGGCAGCTTTGGTCAAGCAAGAGGAGGACTGGGAATTCTCGTTTCTTTGACTTTATGAGCTGCTATAACTACCCTACCTTCTTTTAAGTCACATGCTATGGCAGTCAAAATTCAATTCCAATTCTGTTGTATACGGATAATAAACGCTCACATGTCCTCGCTTGCTCAATGTATATTCATTAAGGAAAGACCATAAATGGTATGCCAGTAGGGCGATGTAGCCTAGCATAGGAGAAGTTGTCTCAGTTTATGCATATGCATTGCCTTAGGAGATAACAGAAATGTATATTAAGGCGTGCACCCCTTTTTATGGGTCGGGCAAGGACTTCGAAATTTATTCCTCTGTGCCTATTTTGCTGGCTTGCAAAATAAAGCCCTTTGTTTTCCTCATTTGCTGCGTGAGTTTTTCTTTCAGCCCCAAACGTTTATTTTTGCAACACCAGCCCACCAATGAGGCAGAGTGAGGCAGCTGCCTCAGGTGGCACCTGAGAGAAGCAGCACTGAAGGGGAAGAGGAAGCTGTCGCCCTACTGCTGCTTTACATGACGGGGTCACTATCGCTGCTATGCAAAGGGGCGGTGGCAGCAGGTTCTCTTCCTCTTCCAGTTGCTGCCCCTCTCTGAGCGGCTTTGGTGAATAGGCTTACTGGTCTCCTCACCAAGCGCCCGGAAGACAGCAAGATACTGCCCTGCTGCGGCCGTCACTTTAAGCAGTTATGACGACCCTGCCGTGTAGAGCTGCAACGGGACAGCAGCTTCCTCTTCTGCCTTGCCTCCTCCTCCTCCCCTGCCTGCCCATTCCCTCACTCACTTGCCTTCCCTACCCTCCCAGTACCTTTCCCCTTGGATTTTTGCCCCAGTCGCCTCCCCTGCTTGACTTCCCAGCAAGAAGTTCCTTCATCTCTGCTAATAGAACTGGAGACTGAATTGGACCCAGGACTGAAAATAAAGCAAGACTCAGAAAGCATAGGAGCAACAAAACTTAAGCCCTCTAACCTGGGAGAAAGTTAGGGAGGTCTGTGAGAAAACTTTGTCAGACGCATCCAGCTCCTTTCTGGTGAAGCAGAATGCTTTATCAAAATTATAACAATTTAATATGGACTTGCTGTACACAATAAAGCACATGTCTTAATTTGTTAGGTGGTTGGCATCCATCTGCCTCAGGAGACAGTGGAAGCGTTAATATGTATGATTTGATTACAGTTTCCTTTCAACAGGCTGCTTTGAATATTATTTTCCCATTATTTTATTGTAATGATATTATTAAGACACAAAGCATATTAAAACAACATCAATAGCTACACCAAGTATTTGAGATACTTCACCTCACCTAATCAACACAAATCTGTCTAGGAAGCCAGCTTCATGAGATAATCATATCATTTCCAGTAGCTTATAAAAGAAATTGATTTTTTTTCCAAATTACATTTTCAGAAACAAGAGAAATTCTTTAGTGGCCATAGGATACCTACTATGTCTGACACATGTTGAAAGGAAAGGCTTTAAAAGCTGAAATTAAAGGTGGAGTTGCAGAGAATAGTGATGGGAAGGATCAGCAAATTCTGCAAGGCCTAAAGCTCTTACTTACTTACTTACTTACTCCCTACTTACTGGAAGCCCTCCTTCACTGCTGTTTTCTGAAGGCCTCTTCTGAAATTAACATCAAAAATTACAAAACTCTCACTAATGTTGCTCTGTGAGATTACACAAGTACGGTTAGCCTGAAATTTATGTGCGTGGCAAAACAAACTAAAAGGGGGCAGGAGTCTGTGGGAAGTGACTTTAGCAAATCCCAGCTGCCATAGAACCCAATGCGTTTTGACTCTACTTGAATGTGTGGTGTGTACCCTTGTTTGCTTGGTGTGACCTTCTGTCTGACTTGCAAGCTGTCTGGCAAGCAGGTCTAAAAATGTGGGCCTGGCAAAATGGCCACCACAACGAAAAGCTTCATTTGCTCCTAAATAGCAATAAACAGTCTGCGAAATCTCGCAGAAATTGGAGGCAACCCCCTGCTCCTGAGAGAGGTCAATTTGCAGAGAAGTTTCAAGAGTGGTACTGTTAAGTTGTGGGTGAACATATCAGACGACACAGCAATTCTTCAAACAGCTCTTGTTTATTCACAGGCCAGGACAGAACTGAACTGAAGGGTTCAGTCAGCCTGCTTATATAGAGCTCCAGTACAATGTAACTGTAACAATTTTATAAAACCATCCAATCACTGAACGTCACTTTCAATCCCTTATTTGCATAACTATCTACAGTATCCCCCTGCTGGCCCAGGGTGAGAACTTCAGTACATAACAGGTACATCCTTATCTTTTGTCTCACTTCTGTGGAACATTGATACTGAAATGCACAAACAAAAGTAATTTAATCAATAATAGCATTTGTCCGTTCCACCCCACCCTTCACCACTAGCTTTTTAATCAACAAACATAGGGCTGATACCCATTTCTCCTCTGTTTCTCACATGACTCAGGTTTTATGTGTGGGGAAATTGAGTAGCCAAGGCTGGCACTGCCTGGTCTTGATCTTTTCAGACTTAACAGGCCATACCCAACCTGGTACCCTCTAGCTGCTTTGGACTGTAATAGCTGGCTGGGGATGATGAGAGTTGTAGTCCAAAACAGCTGGAGAGCATCAGGTTGGGAAACTGACTAATTTACATCAAGAGAATGTACCACTGAGTTTAAACGGAGCAGAGGGGAGGAGAGGAACCTATGCAAAGACTTCTTAAACCAACTTTTCGAAGGTTTGGATTGAGGAGTCCAGGGATGGATCTGACAGTTGCAGTTGTCTCAATCTCTCGTGTTTTCTGTTCTTAAATGCAGTTCTCCACATTGCTTACATTGATTTACAGTTTTTAAAAAATCCTCATGAAGCTTCAGCATTTTAATGCAAACTTCTCCAAATAAACTTCTCCTAATAAAGACATTTTTAGGTGCAGTTTTGACTAATGTACACATTTTTGCAAGCAATTTTTCTCATGAATTTTTGTATGTCATTTCACCAATGTATTCATTTTTATGCACTCTTTCTCCTGATATATGCTTTTTTTGGGGGGGTAAACATTGGTTGAATAAATGCTAACGTCTAAGGATGGCTGTGTGTCAGTTATCACATTGTTTCAGAAAGTGTGTATTTGATAGATTTGTCTTTGCTAGCAAGTTATCTTCAACCATGTCTCCATCTGATACCTGAACGCTGACAGGTGTCGTTTATGAAGAAGATGCTCTAACAATCTATTCCAGTCATCTTGTACTTTTTCTAGAACTTGGTTCTGCAGCAAGTTTTCAAGGCTTCTTTGGCACAGGTCTTCTTCCAGGTCATTTACTTCCTAACCACCCCGAGATTGAACTCCATCAAGTTAGATAGCTTTGAATTCTCTCAGGAAGCAAATCAGGCCCTTCTGTCTTTCCATCCCCTTTCCCAAGAATGGCTGTCTTGTGTTTCCTTTTATAGGCACACACCTTTATGCCATCACTTCCAGCCAGGCATGGACATGTGTAAAGACATGCTGCCTATAATTCACCTTCCAATTGTACATACAGCAGCTACTTAATAGACTTGGCTAGGAACACTTATTTAACAAAGAAACCTCCTTAAAAACCTTCCTTGGAGGTTTTTAAGCAGAGGTTGGATGGTCGTTGGTCATTTATGCTTTAGCTGAGATTCCTGTATTGCAGGAAATTGGACTAGATGACCCTCGTGGTCCCAATTCTATGATTCTGTGGTTTGACTATTTTGGCAGTCCCCTTTTTCTGCAGGCTCATATCCTACAGCTATAAAACCACAGATTTGGAGACGTGCTGTAATAATTCTGTTAGCCCTTTTTGTTTTGGGTACTTATATTGTACATGGTTTCTATTTCCTCTGCAACTCAGTGGCTTTGAGAGGGATTTCTAACAGCTTCTCAATAGCCCCACCTGTTGCTAAGACATGAAAGAATAACGAACAGGTGAAAAAGCAACGATTTTCCATTTGCTGCTTATTTGGGAGGAGTTTGTTTGAGTATCTATCAATCTTCGCTTGGAGCGCAGACGCTTTATTTCCCTGCGCAAGGAAAAGCTAAGCTGCTCCAGAGATTTTGCAGAGCGTGGAGAAAGCATCGGTCAGAAACCAGACCAAGAAAAGGATGAAGTGCTGACACCATCTGAGCGTTCTGCCATGCTTGCATTTCCTCCGGATGCTCTGTAGAGAGGCAAATCGAGAGCTGCCTGCAACATGGTCTCAGCCAACATCAGCAGTCCTGCCGGACACCAAGAACAGAATACAGAGGTATGCAGCAAGTCCCTGTGCCCACTGCTGCCCATGCACACTCTCATCCCAGTGACAGCCATATGTTTGGCGCTGCTGGTTCTTGGCATAACAGGCAATGTCCTGACCATGGTTGTGACAGGTTGCTCCCGGGATCTGCGCAATACCACAAGCCTCTACTTAGCCAGCTTGGCTGTCTCTGACCTGCTGCTGCTGCTACTTGGACTGCCCCTGGACCTGTACCGCCTGTGGCACGCACAGTCCTGGGCGCTAGGTACACTGCTGTGCCATGTGTGGCACTGGTCCGGCGAGGCGTGTGCCTACTGCTCCATCCTGCATCTGACGGCCCTGACGGCCGAGCGCTACATCGCCATTTGTTTCCCATTGCGAGCCAAAGTCCTGGTGACCCAACGGCGTGTCAAAGCTCTGCTGGTGGGACTCTGGGCCGTGGCACTGCTCACCGCTGCACCTTTTTTATTCCTTGTGGGAGTTCGACGGGTTGGCAACGTCTCCAGCGACATCGATGCCAGGTATGAGTGTGCCCCCACAGACCATGCCCAACAGACAGGGCTGCTGGGTACCATGCTCTGGGTCACCACCAGCTACTTTGTGCTGCCCTTCCTTTGCCTCTACATCCTCTACAGTTTGATTGTCAGGGAGCTTCTGCGGGTCAACAAGACACATCTTGGCGGGGCATCATACCGAAACCACCAGCAAACAGTGCGCATGTTGGGTGAGTATTGGGAGGGGGGCATTATGCAGTCTGGAGGGTGTGGGGAGAACAATGCCTTAGTGCCTCCATGTCCAAGTCTCCATGGAATTTCCCCTATGCTCATAGAATGCAGTAGAGCTACCCTGATTCTTTATGGACCCCAAAAGTAAATGGACAAGGATGCCTCCACCCAAAAGAGTGCCTAGAGCATCTCAGGGCACCCTGCCACGGTCACCAGCCAATCCTGCACGTATTGGATGAGTGTGTGAATGAGTGTTTAGCAAGAAGCTGTTGCATGGCTCAGAGTTCCGCGCTGAAGTTCCTAGAAAATAAAGACTCACCCACAGCCCTGGAGAAAAGCCTTTTGTTGTAAACTCTAAAGAGATTCACACAAGCAGCCCCATGCACTGAAGTAATGTCCCATGGAACACACAAATCTTTTGCCAGACATCTTCTCTATCTCAAGTGGAAGTGACATTTATCTTAATAATCAGAGAAAACTGGTGTGGTTTGATTGGGGTTTTTGTTTTTGTTTTTTTGTAGTAACTGATTACAAGCATAAAAGTTGAATACAGAGAGCAGACAAGTAGATGATACCTGTCTCTCAAGCTGCATCAGTTCCTCTGAAGCATGTACTTGACCCCACTCCCTGACAGGGCCGTAGCTGGGGGTGGTGAGGTGGGTCCCCGCCGGGGTGCAGGCGATGGGTGTGTGTGTGCAAAATCAGCTTTAAAATATGTCCATAAATATAAATATTGATTGTTGCCTCGTAAGAAATGGTTTTAAATAGAGGGTGAATTGAATGGGAGGGGGTGGAGGAGAGGCAGAAAGAAGAGCTAATTTGTCAATGGGGCAATGGGGCGCAACGTGGCAATGGGGCGCAAGCTGGACGGTTCTGCCAGGGGTGCAAGATCACCTAGCATGGTTTTGCTCATCACTTTTAATTTGTATACAGTCTTTCTATCTTACAATACTCAAGGCAGTTTACAAGCTGAAGAAACAAATGATGTACACCTTATAACAACCTAATGCAATACAAAAATGTAATAAATGTAATAATAAAACATAGATCCCCAGCTTCTTACCAACAGCAAACAGCCTCTAAAACTAAAGTGTTGCCTGTCTGCTTCATTGCACAGAATTGCCTCTCTTTGAAGCCTCAGCTGGGGAAAGTGGAGTAGGTCCAGAAGCAGACAACCACTAGTCATTTGACACCGTCTGATTTTGTTTGCAGAGTCACCTTCAAGTCCTTTAACTATTGACTAATTTGCATCCTATTTAAAAAGTAATCTCTTTTCATGATACCAGCCAAATCTTTCAGGAGGAAGGATAGAAATATAAATTCAATAAATAAGAAACCCCATAAATAATAGCGGGGAGAGTACAGCACCCATCTCCAAAGATACCTGCCGCAATTGAACTTCCCCTCCCTCCACTCCCCCAGTCACCTCCCAGATCTATTCTGGGGGTTCTCCCAATCCTCCCTAGGGAGAAAAGAGGAAGGGGAACTTTCACTGTGCAAATAGAAGTGCTTATGTCAATGGGACAACTTCATTGCCTCCAACTCTCTCTCTGTAATTTGCTTACATACTGCTGATGCCAATTATAGTGGTACCTCGGGATACATATGCTTCAGGTTACAGACCCCACTAACCCAGAAATAGTGCTTCAGGTTAAGAACTTTGCTTCAGCATGAGAACGGAAATCGTGCTCCAGTGGCGCGGTGGCAGCGGGAGACCCCATTAGCTAAAGTGGTGCTTCAGGTTAAGAACAGTTTCAGGTTAAGAACGGACCTCCGGAACAAATTAAGTACTTAACCTGAGGTAGCACTGTATATTGCAGGCACCAGTAGCAAGTAACGTCCCACACAAATTAGCCCTGATCTGATTCCGAAAATTGTGCTTTCCTGCCTTGCTGGACGATTCCAGCCCTGTTCAGCAACTGTCTTCTGTGCCAAAGAGCAATCCAAATATTTGAAAACAAGTGTACTTCTCACCTGCTTTGAGCAAGCCCATTAGGGCTATAGTCAGCTGTGGCAGGGCAGAGAGTAATTCTTTTCTCCTTTCCCCCCCTCCTCTTGCAGTTGTGGTGGTCCTGGCTTTTGTCGTATGCTGGCTGCCATTCCACGTCGGGAGGATCATATACACCCACTCAAAGGATACCAGGATGATGCTTTTCTCCCAGTATTTCAATATTTTTGCCTTGCCGCTCTTCTACTTGAGTGCAAGTATCAACCCAATCCTCTACAACCTCATCTCGAAGAAATACAGGGCAGCACTTTATAAGCTACTAGTGTCTCCCAAGTCTGCAGAAAGGGCTTCTACTATTACTAGAGAAACTGTGAGCTACCCAGAGACGAGTGGGTAGTTTAAAACATGGGTAGGCAAACTAAGGCCCAAGGGCTGGAGCCGGCCAATCACCTTCTAAATCCGGCCCGCGAATGGTCTGGGAATCAGTGTGTTTTTACATGAGTAGAATGTGTGCTTTTATTTAAAATGCATCTCTGGGTTATTTGTGGGGCATAGGAATTCGTTCATCCCTCCCCCCCAAAAAATATAGTCCGGCCCCCCACAAGGTCTGCGGGACAGTGGACCGGCCCCCTGCTGAAAAGGTTTGCTGACCCCTGGTTTTAAAAATGGATCTTTGGGGACTTCATTTGCATTGCTTTCATCAATATACAGTGGTACCTCGGGTTACATACACTTCAGGTTACATACGCTTCATGTTACAGACTCTGTTAACCCAGAAATAGTGCTTCAGGTTAAGCATTTTGCTTCAGGATGAGAACAGAAATCGGGCTCCGGCGGCGCGGCAGCAGCAGGAGGCCCCATTAGCTAAAGTGGTGCTTCAGGTTAAGAACGGACCTCCGGAACGAATTAAGTACTTAACCCGAGGTACCACTGTACTTTAAAGCAGATTTATGAAAATAAGGGTAGCTCATGTTTAGCTTTCCACAGGGCCGGCCCACCCATGAGGCAAGGTGAGGTGACTGCCTCAGGTGGCAGGATCCAGAGGGGCAGCAGATCCATCCTCCATGGAATGTGTTGCCTGCAGCTGCTGCCATCTCAGCAGCACCCCCTCCCATGGCATCTCTTCTCAGAAAATAGGAGCTGCTGCTGATTTTCTCCCACCCCAGGAAGGAAATGGTGAGGGCTGCTCTCTGGGGTCTCCAGAGCTCTGCACCCCCCCAGCATGATTCAGAGCAGGTCCCTTTTCTCCCACAACGGCCCTTGATTCCCACTTCAACCATCGGGTAAGGTTGATTTGATCCCACCCCCCATCCTTGTTCCTGAGGTAGATCTTCGCTCACCCCTTCTTCCCTGGTGGGAGGACGCCATTTTGTGGAATTTATCCGTAGGATGATGCAGGCAAAACCCAGACCATGACCGCGGGTACAAGAACAATGCCACAAATGCCCCCCAATTTACCAGCAAACTATACTTTGCCTTTTGCCCTGTAAACCATAACTTTGTCTTTTGCCTTGTAAACCAAGGGCAAACCATAATTTCTCTGGTCAGTCCAAATGGCAAGCTGTGATTCATTCAAATTTAAGATGTCGGGTGGGGGGTGGGAATTGGAGAATGCAAAAATGGTGTGTGCATACTTGAGGTTCCTCAAGGCTTGTTTACCTAGTCGCATCATTGAAAAAGGCCATAGTTCAATATTACGGCACGTGCTGTGCATGCAGAAGGCCTCAGGTTTTAGGTCTGACATCCCCAGTTAAGAAGGAAGTCAAGGAGCAAGGGCATGAACAACCTCTGCCTTGAGACTGACTGCCAATTGTATGTGAGACAGCATTGGGTGAAATGGACAGATTGTCTCGTAAGGTAGCTAAGTTGCCTAATTTACTATCTGGATCACTCCATCATCTTAGTATAATATTTGTGGAGCTTTATATTGTGTTGCAGTAAGTTGCTGTAGTGATTCATATAGTAAAATAGGCCTTGTACCAGACATATTTTGTTGGAACAGTTGCAGAGCTACTGCTTCTAGGTTTTGTTAGCTGATATCGAAATGAATCAGGACCATTTTAATTGGTTTCCACATTGTCACAGTTTCTATTTTAAGACACATCCTGCAGAAATTAGAGAGTTTCTGATACGCTAATTGTAAATCTGTTTCCACAATTTTGCTACTAAATGTTTAGATTTGTAAATCAACATTACTTGTAGTTCCGTCTGATCATGGGAATGCCCTGAGATGTTAGTGAAGTGTTAGATTCCAGGCAAGAAAATGGTAAAAGTTTATCTGTCCTAGAGCATGGCCAGTACTTTGCTACTGCCAAGCAGGTCTGGATCATAGCCGTCAATGTTTTCCTTTTTTAAAGGGAAATTCCCTTATTCCAAATAGGATTCCTTGCAAGAAAAGGGGAAAGTTGACAGCTATGGTCTGGATCCTGTCAGCGCTTGAATGGCTGGCCACTTGAGAATAATAATAATAATAATAATAATAATAATAATAATAATAATACTAATTTATTATTTATACCCCGCCCATCTGGCTGGGCCTCCCCAGCCACTCTGGGCGGCTTCCATAGAAACCAAAAATACAGTAAAATATCACACGTTAAAAACTTCCCTGAACAGGGCTGCCTTAAGATGTCTTCTGAATGTCAGGTAGTTGTTTATCGCTTTGACATCTGCTGGAAGGGCGTTCCACAGGGCGGGCGCCCCTACCGAGAAGGCCCTCTGCCTGGTTCCCTGTAGCTTTGCTTCTCGCAATGAGGGAACCGCCAGAAGGCCCTCGGCACTGGACCTCAGCGTCCGGGCAGAATGATGGGGGTGGAGATGCTCCTTCAGGTATACTGGGCCGAGGCCGTTTAGGGCTTTAAAGGTCAGCACCAACACTTTGAATCGTGCTTGGAAACGTACTGGGAGCCAATGTAGGTCTTTCAAGACTGGTGTTATATGGTCACATGGAATCACAGAATTGTAGGGTTGGAAGGGATGTTGAGGGTCATTTTGTCCAACCCTGTCAATGCAGGAATCTTTTTGCCCAGGACCCTGAGATTAAGAGTTTCTTGCACTACCAACTGACATGTATGCTGCCTTGTGTTATATGTAGGGATTGCAGAGAAATTCTATTGAGTTTGCATTCAAACTTCACAAAACCACACTTTCTATTGTTTCTGCTACACGAACCAAAACACAACCATTCTTCAGAAGTCACATTCTTCCAATGTTGCAATACTTACCAGTCAGGTAAAGTGTATAAAAATGTGTATCCTAGGGTGAAGTGTACATAAGCATGCAAATATTTGGGAAAATTGCATACCAAAGTGCATTATATATGGGGAAATTGGTTTTTTTGAAAATGCGCCTATAGGAGAAATTGGCACTAAGATGTCACAAATTGGTGTAGAAATGTGGAGAACTCAACTTCAGGTTGGAAAAGTGAAAAACTGAGAAGAATTAAATTTGACAGATTGGTCCATCCCTAGTTATGTGCTGGGCGAAAGATAAGATATAAATATTATGAAAATGAAGGTTTAGCAGCTGCTAAACCTTCAAATCAATGACTTAGCTCCCTTGTCATATCTTATATGGCTTCTTATTTGAGACACACTTAAAGCAGAGTTTTGAAGTTTAGTTCTTGCTTGTGTCACCCACAAGAACGGGGGCAGATGACTGCAGCTGAATAAATGCAAACCCAATGATGTGAAACCACAAAAAACTTATTATTGTTGTTATTATTGTTATTGTTAATTCTAACACCACTCCCTTTTAAGAGCTATGGGGACTTTAATGAAACATGGTTTAACTAGGCAAGTTGCTTTCATCAATTTGCCTTGCTGTCCATTACTGTACATAGAAAGATTGGGAATGAGCTGAAAAGCCTGGTATATTGGGAGCAGGTTCATTTCACTCAAAATGTGAGTAATGGGTTATAACCTTCCTGCATGGACCTTGACTGTTTTTGTGCTATCTTCGATGAAGGCTTAATTGTAAAACAAACACATAGGCAGGAATCCATAGTAACATAATGCATGATGGTTTGGGGCATAAATGGCATGAGGGCAAATCTTGTCACCTTTTGAAATGGGAAATGCTATCAGTCCAAACATAAAATAACTTGGCAACCTAACTAAAAGAAGAAGGGTAGCTTGAATATTACAAAAGGAGAAAGCTGACACGGTATTTTTGCAGAAGACACCATATCCCTCTGATCATACAGGTCAATTGCCCTTTTAAATTGCCAAGCTATTTGCCACCATTTTAGCTAAAACGTATTGGCACATATTTTGGTCATGTTCTTAAGATAGTGAAATTTTGTGGAAATATAAATGATGAACCATTAACGATGTTATTTGGAAATTTTAAGGATCTGGTTTTACCAGGAGATGTCAAATTGACAAAACGTCAGTTAATAGCTAGTAGTACAGGAATATGTTGTGGGGATGGACATTTATTCATCTAGGAGACTAGATGTAGTCCACTTAAGTTATACTCAGAGTAGACCCATTAAAATCAATTGGCATGGCTAACTTAAGTCCATTGATATCAGTAAGTCTACCCTAAGCACCGGTAAGTTGGACTCTCAAAGTTGACTAATATTGACTAATAGTGTACGAATGAAGGAAGGAAGGCAACTTGATAATTTATTCATTTAAAAATGAAGCATTTTGGTTAAGTATAACACGACACAAGAAAACATTCACCCTTTATGTTATTAGAAACAATTTAGAGAACAATTGTTTATATCTTTTTGCTTGTGACTTATTTTACGACTACTGCTGATGCTGCTTGTTTGTTCACAATGCATTTTCTTCTTCTTTATCTGTAAAACAAACAAATAAATAAAGATGCCAAGCTACTTTGCTGCTATTTAGCTAAAAGGGGCTGACAGCACCCTTTCACTGACTTTATGCCTGATTGAGAAATGGCAAGTTCAATCCAGAAATTCAAGGAAAACATCTATAAAGGGCTATTGGAAAACATCTATAAAGGGCTATTGGTCAGTGATGTTTCAAAGTTGTTTGCAGAGGACACAATCACTTACCTGAAAGAAGAATGTTTAGATGTTACTGAAAATCTTAAGAGGACTGTGTTTCTGTGACTGAGGTGCAAATGGATGAGGACTATTTTCCTTGGACACACTAGAACAAAGTGAAGAACTATTATCAGCTGTGAGTGGGTGCTTTTTTTGCTTCTTACTACTACTACATTGGGACGTGGGTGGTGCTGTGGTCAGAAGGTCGGTGGTTCAAATCCCCACGATGGGGTGAGCTCCCGTTGCTTGGTCCCTGCTCCTGCCAACCTAGCAGTTCAAAAGCACATCAAAGTGCAGGTAGATAAATAGGTACTGCTCCGGTGGGAAGGTAAACGGCGTTTCCGTGCGCTGCTCTGGTTCGCCAGAAGCAGCTTAGTCATGCT